TAAGAAAGTGGCTGAATTTAAAGTTTTGACAGTCTTTAGGCATACCTGAGGGTTTTTGCACAGAAGGTCTTGGTAGTGGCTCATGCATGGATTGGTTCATTAGGGCTATAATTGCATGAGGGACCTTGATGTTTAGGATTTGTCCCATATTAAGTTTGTCTGCCTCTTTGGCCAATAGAGCAGTGGCAGCCAGGGCCCACAGGCAGGGTGGCCATCCAGCTGCCACTGTGTCTATCTGTTTGGACAGATATGACAAAGGCTGTCGCCAGGGTCCTATGTTCTAGGTTAGAACTCCCAGGGCCATCCCTTTTTCTCATGAACAAAGAGATTAAATTTTCGAGTTACATCAGGGAGTCCCAAGACAGGGGCTTCTAGTAAAGTCTTCCTAAGGGTAAGAAAGGCTTCCTGTTGCTATTGCCCCCATTGGAATGGTGCCTTTTCTCCCTCCTTTGTGGCTTCATAGGGATCCAGATGTGACAGAATCTGGCGACCCCCAGAAACTCTCGGATCTGCCTCCAGGTCTTCAGGGTTGAAAGGGCCCAAATTACCTTTTTCCATTCAGGCCCCAAGGCCTGATGACCTTTTGAGATTAGAAACCTCAAGTACTTGACTGCTTTCTAGCAAATATGGGCCTTTTTAAGGACACCCTGTATTCAGCTTTCTGGAACAAGTCTAGCAATGTCTCTGTTCCCTTGGTGCAATCCTCCAAGGTTGTGCTTGCCAGGAGATTATCCACATATTGCAGGAGTGTACACTTGACTTCCACACTTGAGAAGTGTGCCAGATCCTCTGCTAGGGGCTCTACAAATATGGTGGGGGAGTTCTTGAACCCCTGGGGCAACTGGGTCCAGGTTAATTGCTTCTTTTGGCCGGTGGTGGGGTCTTCCCCTTGAAAGGAAAACATCAGCTGACTTACAGGTGCCAGGCAAATGCAGAAGAAAGCATCCTTCAGAGCCAGACAGATGTACCATTGAGCCTCTGCAGGTATGAGGCCTAGGAGAGTGTATAGGTTAGGGATCACCAGATGGATGGTTGTTGTGCCTTGGTTGATGGCCGACAGGTCCTGGACAGGTTGGTAGTTGTTGGTGCCTGGTTTTTTCACAGGCAACAGAGGAGTATTCCATGAAGATTGGCACTTTCAGAGCATCCCAAATTTTAGTTGTCTTTGAAGGTGAACTTGGATGCCGATCTTGGTTTCCCTAGATAAGGGATATTGTCAGACACTTACCACGGGGACTCTGGGCAGCAGGTCAACTATTCCTGGTGGATGGTTGATGGCTAGCCCACGTGGGTTCTTCTCAGTCCAGTCTCCAGGGAAGCAGGAACTCCATGTTTGCAGGGCTGGGTTGATGTTTGTGGCAGGCTGGGAATGGAGTCTCCATTCTTCTTCTTGGGGAATTGTGACAGGCAAAATTAAGGAGGTGTCCTTTAGGGGTCCCAGCCACATGGGTCTCAGCAGTTCAAGGTGGGCAAGGCCATCAGCTGAGAACGTGACACAGGTCCCCAGCTTAGACAGTAAGTCCCTTCCCATCAAAGGCATTGGACATTCTGGGACATACAGGAAATCATATTTTACCTGGTGTCTTCCCATGATACAATTGCAGGTTTCACAAAAAGAGCAATGGATTTGGGCTCTGATAGCCCTCATGATTTTTGTTTTTCTTTTTGACATGGACCCCACTGGTTTGGTTACAACCAAATGCTCTGCTCCAGTGTCCACCATAAAGTCCATTGATTGGCCACCAAACTTCTGTGAGCTGCTTTAGCAAATTAATTGAACTCAAGGAGGGGGTCATGTGAATGAACGCTCATTTATAGCCCTTTGGTCAGAAACACAGATTAAATAATCTAGGGCTTGCAACTTATGTCTGAAGTAGGGGGGCAGTATTGTGGGACTGAGCTCTCAACCTGGGAGATTCAATGTTTTCTGCGAGTAAATAGTGTCAGAACTGAATTAGAGGATGCCTAGCCGGTGTCTACTACAAAACAATAGCTTGCTGGGGTTGAGGAGAAAGAGTGAACTCTCACACATCTGTGTTGTGAGAGTATGGGAACAACTGAGTTTGTTTTTCCAATAGCCTCAGCAGGTCAAATCAGGACTTTTTCAGATGACCTTCAAGACAACTCAGTCAAAATGTAAATCACTGTTGTTGTTTTAATTGCCATTAATGTATGCAGCAGACATTTCTAATCCTTGTTCTATCCCTTACTTCTATCATCAATTTGAAAAGTTTATTTTTTTACTTTATTCATGTATTTACTTATTTGAATTTTTTATAATCAGAAACAATAAGGATTTTAAGTCTATTAGAATTAGCTTCCAAAAGTTTATCAATTCTGTCCCCCCAAAATTGTAATGAGTTTTTTTTTCAGCAGTAAGCATAAAATATCTATATTACTGGGTGAAACAAAAGATCTATTAGAAATATAATTGAAAATTCTCTGGACAAGTCCAGAGCTAAGAATGAGGAATTGTCTTACTACCCCATCACCAATGTTAAAAAGGTTAGCATAATCATAAAGCTTGCAGAATACACTGTTGGTCTTTTGGATTTTCTAGTGTAAAACAAGGCAAGTACTATCATTAAATAAGGACTTTATATGTATTTATATTTATTAATAACAATAGTTTAATATGAACTTCATTCTCATAAAAAATAAATGAAGCAATTGGAGATACAGATCATGCAATGCACAAGCAAGTTATCAGAGAAGGAGCAGAAACTTTGGCGATAATGATTGATAAAACTTTCTGAAGTGAACAAGACTAGTCAGCATCTGCTTCATGTTAAATGTGGTTTGTTTGCCAGGTAGTGCCTAATCTCATTTCTTATATAATATTTCTGAACTTTAAGCTCTCTATCCCTGATAGATGGGGAACAATAATGAATGAGAGTTCAGGAATTAGGTGAGGGTATCAATTTTACACATAAATTGTAACCCAATTGCATCAAGGTGGTTGCCTCAAAATACTATCTATTCAAGAAATGTGGAGGGAAGGTGTGGTCACCATTTTATGGATGAAGAGATATTTTTCTTTATCTCAATCTCTTACTTTATTTAATAGAGTCGTCTTTTGGCCAAGCACAGCAGATATTGACAGCATTCTGCATGTGCGTGTGTGTGTGTGTGTGTGTGTGTGTGTGTGTGTGTGTGTGTGTGTTTTAAATTCATGTTTTAATCATCAGAGCTGACTGGGTAACCCCAGTTAACAATTTGTTCACACATAAACTTTATGCAAAATGATACCTATGATGACATTAGTGAGTTATTGATCTGATATTTTATCAGGTTTTCTGACATGTCATGTGTTTCTAATTAAATTTTCATCAGTTCTTGAGAAATGGCATTAAAATGAACAAGGATTATATTGGAAAGCTCTGAATATAGCACACAAATATAAATGTAAATATACAATAACTTATTTTAAAGATATTTTAGATTGCTTTTCAATTTTTTGCACACCCCTACCTTATAAAAAATAAAAAATTCCTTTTTAAAGAACTTGTAAGCTAGCATTTCTGAGGTGTTTTCTGATTTTTTCATCTAGAATATTTATTAGATGGCTAGATAAAGAACTATTTACACATGTATCTAGCAGTTTAATATAGTAGATAGCTTAGACTCTAAAATGAATCTCTTTATGTTAAAATCTCAGACCCACCATTGACAACTCATGTAACCTTGGGAAGTTTTTCAACCTCTCCATTTCTGTGCCTCTGTTTCCCATCTATAACCCCTCATAAAGTCATTTAAAGTATCCACGTTAAGGTTCTTGAACAGTGCTTGGCACATAATAACTAGTAAATCATTAACCTTTGTTCACTTGCCAGGAAAAAAAAAAAAAAAACCTGGCTAGCCAGCTAAATGACATCTTTCTCTCCAGAATGGTGATGGTATGCTGGGTCTTACTGTACTTATACACATCAGGAAGATACCCTTTTTCTAAAGTCATCCTCAGAGAGTATTCTGGAGGTCTGTAGTACTGAAGTGTATTGCATGGCAAAATCTGTGGGTAAGTAGACATTATGATTAGAATTTCAAGTAGTAACAAATATGAGTGCTGAACACATTTAAATCTCATTATGTCAGGTAAGGCACTTCTCGGAACTTGCAGCTTCCTTAAAAACTACATATTAAAAAGACAAGCAAACTCTGTTTCCTAGGGCACAAATAAAGCCAGGATAAATTCCTTTGCAAAAATGAAAAACAACAGATATAAATGCTAAAATGCAAAGCATTTGTGGAATGGTTAGGTTTTTCTTGACTATCCGAATTTCAAACAAATTTCTTTCAACATATGATAGAAAAGCATACCAGGTCTAAAGCAAGGTCCTATAAATTAGACAGAGTTGCTAGAAAGAGACCCCATCAAAATCTCCCTTAACAGTTATTATCAACTGGATTTTGTAAGTAATGTAAATTTATCTGTGAAAATTAGTGTGTCCCTAGGCTAATACCCTTAATTTTGGTCTGGGATTCTGGAATGATCATACTTACACTTGTAACTACCTTTGCTAAGCTTAAGAACTGTGAGAAATGCACTTTCACATAACCTTTGTGATTTTTTCTCTAGCAAATTTTGGAATGGGCATGTCTTTGCAAATTTTCAAGGCTTAGAAGCTCTGGTTTCATCCCTGGAATTCTACATTTCTGCTCTTTCCAGACACCTGTACCTACTGCACAGCCTTGCAGCTGTCTCTGTGGCAAGGCAGGGCCTCTTCCTGGCACATAAACTGGCCAGGTGAATCCGCCCCTAAAGGGCGTGTCAATACCACTTCCTGGAGCAATCTCACAGGGTGGTTCCAATTTCCATTTGAGTTCAAATACCTTGCTGCCTCTGTAACTGCCAGACCTGCTCCAGCTGCTGCTCAGGTAATTTTCATCTCTCTTTGGCACCACTGTAGGCGGCAGTGGTTGATAAATGACTTCTACACATGTGCCTGCCTGCTTGTCCTTTTTCTTATTGTATTCATTTGTTTGTTCCTTAGGGGGAGGATCTGGGGAGTCTCTTGCTGACTACTGAGAAGATGATGAGCTCAAGCTATTGGAGTGAGACCAGCAGCAGCAGCTGTGGGACTCAGCAACCCCCAGAGGCGCTGCAGTGCCAGTCCCAGCATTATCACTGCCACCATAAATCAAGCCAGGCCCAGCAGCCTCAAGAAAACAATGTTGTTTATGAACGAGTGAGGACCTACAGCGGGCCCATGAACAAGGTGGTGCAGGCCTTGGATCCCATCGGTTCACAGGAAATGATCTCCCCTCTCAAAACCACCTCCTCCTACCAAAATTTGGTTTGGAGCGACCATTCCCAGGTACAGCAAAGACAGTTATGTCAGGTCACTAGACAGGGAAAATCTTGAACCTGATTTCTCTTCTGTCTTTCCGCTGCTTTGCGTATGTTCTACAAAATATCTCTTGGTGGACTGCAGTTATATATGCCTTGGATAGAGAGTCACCCAAATTCCACCTCTTAGCTGTTCTTTCTTCTACAGTTTCAGTGAATTTCACAATCTAACCAGAGAATAGGGGGACTCATTTTCAGTTTGATTTGATTTGAAGATCTGATCCAATGCATCCCTTTGCCCTACAGCAAAGCAATCCTCAGCTCAAATATGGTCTTTTAAAAAAAATTTTAATTTTTAATTTTTTAGAACAAGTTTCCACAGATTCATTTCCTGTCAGAAGTAAGCAGGTTTTTCGTGTCAAATATGGTGGTGCAGGGACAATGGCATGTATGGAGTGACGAGCAATTATTAGCATTAAGCAAATAGTATGCTGCCACAGGATAAGTGACAGGTGCAAATGTCTGTTTGAATTGTCATATGTGTTTCATCTTCAGAAAATGACACATTGATTCTTATACAGCCTAGGTAAATAATTTATGGAATATTGGTAGAAGTGCTGACAGAATGGATATAAGATTGAGGAAGACAATATGTAAGCAATTGTTATATGAAAGCTATAAAAGACAGAACTCTAACATGCCCTTCAAAATAAAATAAATTGTCCAGGCTCGGTGGCTCGGTCTGTGATCCCAGCACTTTGGGAGGCCAAGGCGAGAGGATTGCGTGAGCCCACTGGTTTGAGACCAGCCCGGGCAACTTGGTGAACCCTCATCTCTAAAATAAAATTTAAAAAATATAGATTAGCCAGGCGTGGTAGTACGCGCCTGTAGTTCCAGCTACTTGGAAGGTTGAGGCGAAAGGAATGCCGGAGTGCAGCAGGTTGATGCTGGGGTGGCCATGAGTGTGCCACTGCACTCCAGCCTGGGTGACAGAGTGAGACTGTCTAAACTGAAATGATGTTTTCAAGATACACTTTGTACTGTGAAGATCTAGAAAAACAACCATTGAGATATTATACATGGTATACCAATTGAAAATAATATTATTCCCAAAATCACAAATTTAAGTAAGATGTGAAGTGACTTTTTAAAAGATTTTTTCAAAGATATTGATAGTCCCCAAACTCCAAATATCACAATTTTACTTTTACTCCTAGCTTAATTTCAGGGAAAAATATTTTTTAAAAAGTTAGGATTACTGTCAGCAATTTCCTGATTGAGAAAAACCTCTCCTGTATTAAGATCAAGGGGAAGAAAAATATAAAGGTCAAAAATACTAGTTTGTATAAGTGATAATAGCAATACAAATGTACATTTCAATATTCAGCATTGGGATGCTATTGTACAAGTAAATGAGGATCACCTTTGTGCTATAGTAACCCAAAAACAATAATGTGAAAGTCAAAAACAACAATTACTGTTATCATAAGAATGCTGAAATCGTCCTATTTGTCATAGCTATTTAAATATACTTAACTTCTTTTTTTGTCAACTTGATAATAAAAGAAAGGTAAATAGACATTTAAAAGCTGAAATTTGGCAAATTGTAAATATCGATTACAGAACAATTTTTAGGATTATGATTTATTGTTTGTTTCAACTTTTCCTTTTAATTATTCAGGAACAAGCTGGATTAGTTTACAAGTTTTTTTTACAAGCCTTTCTTTTACCTGATATTTGCCAAAGTGGTCCTTATAGAGACTACCTCCATTCTAAAATGTAGTTCCCCATAGAAGGGTTTATGAAGACTCTTTGGGGCAGAAAGTGTGACTACAGAAACTGAGATAAGAGATTGGAATGGAGAGTACTGTGAAGTCTGAAGTTATTTATAATTGAAAAGAAAGAAAAGTAAGTGCTGGGTGTAAATGAGGAAGGTGAGAGTCAAGCTATGTGGTGAAGGAGAAAAAAAGAAGTGTTACTCCCTTAGTGAAATAAGGGAGAAAATTTGACTATGAAATTTCAAAGTGAGTTGGACATCAAAGAGCATTCACAAATTCACTGAAACAGAATTTGGCAAGACAGCTTTTAGATAGAAAGAATGTGACTAGAAAACTCTTCTATTTTCATTTCCTTTCTGCCTGTTTATTGATGGGATGGCATTGAGGCATCGTGTATAATGCTTAGATTTGATTTGAAGTTACCTTCATGCTGCTAAAATGGGTAAGATGTGATGGTAGCTTTATCATGTACCATGCCAGGCATGAGCAAGCAGTACATATTACTCAAAAACCTTTTATTCAATTTATGTTTTAAAGTAACTTCGTAATATACTGTGTTTCAGAGGAATTGATATGTAGCAATTATTGTGATGTCAGAGTCTGTGACAGGGCAGCTAGAGAAATGGGTGTTATAATCAATTGTTGATCATCATGAATTCAATTAAGCTTTTACTTTCTTTTTAACTTTTTGGTGTTTGGATGACATTCAGAGAATTCATAAAATTTTAAAATAAATGTCCCCCCCCCTTTCTTTTTAAAGATGTGGAATACAATTCAGAATTAAGTAGATAAGTGGTCATCCTACAGGTAAAATTTGGGCTTCCCTTTGGTCCCCACTTTGCCTGGCTTGAGATCAGATACCCTTATTGATGTTGCAGTGCCCAGTTACTGCCAATCCCTTTCTTATAGTATTATGATAAATGTTCAGAAAGAAAAAAAGAAAAGACAGATCAAAAATAAAGCAGGCTCAGACAATTGGGGAATTGCTTTACTTTCTTTTCCAGGTTTTATTTTTCTTTCTTGAAAAGCTATAAAATTTATCCTCAAAACTTTCCATGCAAATGTACTATGGTTTATTTTTACATGGAAACATGTTGTCTTATTCTTGTGCATCTGTCTCTAATAAAAAAGAAGAAACAAATTTCTCCCTTTTCCTCTGTGTTCTTTCATTCATTTAGAAATATTTTTTAATGTACCAGGTATAGCACTAACCACTTTATTTTACAACGATTATTTCATGTAATCTTCATATAAATCTATCAGGTAAATATTGTTTCCATTTTACAGGAAACAAACTGAGGCTCCAAAAACTCAAGTGCCAAATATACAAGGTCACACAAGGTGAAATCATCCTTTGAAATTTGGCAGTTTTACTCCAAAGCCTATATTCTTAAAATGGCATTATTAAAGTCTCAAATTTTTCTGCAAAAAAAACAACATATCCAGTAGTAAAATATGCTCTCTTTGAGAAACAAAAATTGATGTTACTCTGCTTTGATTCCTGAATCTTAATTTTAGCTCATATAGTAGACATATTAGTTTTAACCAAATGTTTTTGCAGCACTTTAGCATTTTCTTTTTCTGTTTTTTTTTAGTATGTGTTTTTTCCCCTATTACCTTCTAAGTGCACTAAAATGGTTTTTATGGATAAAAACATATTTTAAATTTCTTCAGATATATAATGTCATTTTGTTTCTTTTCTATAATGGATCAGATATACTTTATGGTTTTTTGGTTGTTATTTTGCCTAATTGATAGAGTGCTTTTCAGAGGAAATTAAACATAAAAATTATTGCTGGTGAAATTGTCTAAATTAATTGCAGAATTAAAATTACTGGCTTTATTTATATTTACAGGTGCAATCAAATACTGGTGTAATCAAGGTCACAGATGCATTTTGGGACTTAATGTGGTCTTATAAAAAAATGGAGTTCTAGAAGCTACTTAAAGCAAAACAAATCAAAACAAAACAAAACAAAAACCTTACAGTTAACCTTTTAAATATTCTAACTACTAACCTACACCATTAATTCAAAATGAAATACTGCCTTAAATGAACAACATTGGCATTAATTACTCATTGGACTTACATTTTTTCCTTCTACTAATTTAGGTTTTCATGAAATCCAAGATGTCTTCCATGTATACAGAGGACCTTTGTTATAAGAGAGAAAAATGGATCAAAAAATATGTTTAATAGTAGCCGTGTTTAATAAGTGCCTATTTGTGTGAAACATTGTCATTTTCTGGATAAATACCATTTGTTTGCCCAGGGAGAGTCCACTTTGAGGACAGACAAAAAGGGACTGATCTGTATGTGTCCTATATGTCTATCTCTATTTCATTATCAAGGATTATTTTGTGTTGTGACCATCAGCATTTTATTGAATAAAACATGTTTTGGTGAGAGAAGGGATCTTTTAATGTATATAAGGATTGCCATTCTTTTGAATTTGGGTTGCAACTCTAGAAAGCAGCCTGGGGGAACATGTGTGTTTATAATGACCCGTGTTCGCAATAATATTCATCTATATCTTACCTTTGTTTACATGATTTGTTTTCCTTTTTCTTTGGTTGAAGAATTGCAATCACTCCCCTACTGTGCCAGGACTTCCATACACTATCAGAAAATTGTCTTGTTCTGTGGGGAAGGGTGTGTTGCTTTGATAAATTGCTGTTCAAGGGTGTGGTCACTAAAGTGAATGATTGTTCAGGGAAGTAGGTTGCCTGAAAAAAGAATGAGGTCATGGAATAAAGGGGCAGGCTTTGGTCATCCCTTTTGTGTTTACAATTAAATTAAGCTATGGAAATTTAGGAGTACAACTAATTGCTGGGTGAAATTGCCTACAGCAATTATCTCTTGTTTGAGGGAAGTCTGATAATTGCAGGGGCTATTTTCAGCCAATGGCACTCACAAACTGTCTTTGTGTAAGTGTGGCAAGGTAGAGGGTGGCAAAGGGAAAGAAGGGGAACTTTTCCTTTAACTGTCATCTGTCCAAATTTCTTTTCTTGACAATTTGTGGTAAAGCAATTGGAAGATTTGTCTTGTTCTTAAATCCAATTTAAAAGTTAAAACCTTTCTAAACAAGGTATGTGAGTCAACTTTTTCCTCATACGAGGAGGTATCCCAACAGAGGTAATTTTTGACTTCCAATGGAGCATATAAACTTATAGTTTTTAAAAAGAGAGCACGTACTGCAAAAAGACTGCATATGTTATTTACTCTCTGTCTCAGGTTTCTTCAAGAAAA